TTTAGCAGCAGTGTGCCTTTGATCTACACACTATGTGCTCTATACGTGTGCTGTTTGAACATACATGTGATGTGATAAACTGTGGTATGAGKCTGTTTGCTGATGGATATGATAGTGTTTTATTATGGCACTTCAGTTAAGAAGGTTCAACACTGTTTATGAACCTAAAGATATTGGTAACAACACCAAACATATGCGTTATTGCCAAAAACTGCATTGAATTAAAGGTCTAGCATCCATTGAAGGAATGCATATCTCCCACCAGCCTTAATAGTTTTAACCAAAGATCCTCTTATGCACTGAGGATGACTCTCAGCTACTACCAGGCCAAATTTTAGCACATTGCCTGTAAAAACGGTTGAGTAACAGCAGTTTTTGTGTTTGCTAACATCGATTAGCCGTTTTAGCAATTTTTAAGTTTCTGAGAGTTTCAATAAAATGTGGTTCATGAGATATTTTGCTAACAGTCAGGTTTCACATCTACAGTTAATGTCAAGGTCTTGAGCAGAGCTCAAAGTATGTGTTGGGAATGATGCTCAGCCACTACCATAAAAAATTCTATATCAATATCTGTAAAATTACCTGAGTTGTATATATTTTTCTGTTTTGTTGTGTCCATTTACCTAAATTATTTTTGACTCGATTGCAAACAGAGTGCTGTGACTTTTAGTGTTTGTAATTTTATGACATTTTGAATGAATTAACTTTATTTACATCAGGGGCGGAGCTACATTTTTGCAGGGGGTGGTACAAGATATTTTTGAGGGGGGCCACATACAAATAAAGCAAAGCACTCTGGATTTGAAAATTCAAGATGGCTGCCTCGTTTTATTCATCTGTTTTAAGATATATTGAGCTAAAATTCTGCACGATCATAGCCAGGAATGATCCAAACAACATGCTGAATGCTAGTCACAACTTATTATTCAGCCATTTTTAAATGCACAAGCCTAAAGATTAGTGTTGAATAGGGCTGTGTATTCGCAAGAAGTTGGCGATACGATACATATCATAACAGAGGGGTCACGATACAATATATCCCGATATATTGGGATAGTGTAAGCAAGGCAATATATTGTGATATATTGCGATTTTTTTGTCCAAAAATTCTATTAAATAAAAACCTCTTAC